TGGCAGGAGCGCCGCCACGACCTCTTCATGCCAGGGAGCAGCATGGCCGACAGCCGAGTCGTGGACTACGTGGCTCTGAAGCACGGATGGCTCACGTTCACGGCTGACGCGGAGGACGCGTACTACCACGTCCCCGAGGAGGAGGACGCATGGGTCGAGCGCCCCCCCCCCCCCCAAAGTCCTGGAGGAGTGCCGCGCGAAGGGCGACGCAGAGGACTACGCGTGGCAGCTCGCGAAGCATTTGCCAGGGCGGCGTGCTGGAGGGAAGCGCTGGGTCGAGTTCGCTGCGGGGCAGCTCATGACCAGGGGCTTCGAGCGGGCTCCGACCGCGCCCCAGTTCTTCTGGCGCGCCGAGCCCCCATGTCTGGTGGAGCTGCACATGGACGACATGCGCGGCACAGCGCCTGGAGTTGCAGGGTCCGGCTTCGTGCTGGACCTAGGCCGCGACGTCGAGGTGAAGTGGTCAGGCCTGCAGGGCGACGGTGCCGACTACGAGTTTATCCAGAGGCGGCGCGTGCGAGAGGCCGACGTCACCTACATCCAGCCCAACGAGAAGCACCTCGCGTAGGCGCTGGAGGCGCTGGGCCTTGAGGAGGCCAGCCCGTGCGCCACCCCAGGGGTGGGGGCGCGCAGGACAGGCAGGGGCGACGCGCCCGACCTTAGCCCAGACGAGGCCAAGCTGTTCAGGAGCGTGACCATGTGCCTGCTGTTCTACTTGCACGACCGTGAGGATGTCAAGTTCGACATCTACAACCTGACCTCGTGCATCCCTTCGCCCCGTGGGGCGGACATGCGAGCCCTCGAGAGGCTGGCAAGGTAACTGAAGGGCGCGAGGGACCTGGGCGCGAGGCTGGCCAGGCCCACCACGCCGCAGGACATCGTCGACCTGGTCGCGCGGGCAGACTCCGACTGGGCAGGCGGCACGAAGGGGCGGAAGAGCCAGACCAGCGTGCACATCATTGCGCGTGGGTGTCCAATGCTCGGGATCAGCTGTCGTCAAGACGCGCAGCCCCTTACCAGCTGCGAAGCCGAGTGGCGCGCTGGAGCTCGAGGTCTCAGTGAGGGACTTGGGCTGAAGGCGCCCTTCGCGCTCATGGGCTACAGTGTGCGCATGAGCTGGCGATGCGACAGCTCGGGTGCGAGAGCGCTGACGAGGCGTCAGGGCACTGGGCGGATCAAGCACCTTGCCACAAAGACGCTCTGGATCCAGCAGTTGGTGGCCAGGAAGGCCACCTCCATCGAGCCTGTGGGCGGCGAGAACAACCTGGCGGATCTTGGCGCGAAGGTGTTGCCGAGGGCACTCCTCGAGCGGCTCCATGAGAGCTGCGGGTTGAAGGAGGTGTCCGTGCTAGGGGCCTCGAGGATTGCTGGGGCCGGGGCCATGCCGACCGATTTCCAGGCCCAGGCGAACCTGCTGAAGGCGTTGCTTGCAGTGGCCGCGTCGCTTCCCACTGCGGCGCAGGGGAGCTCGACCGAGCAGCGCGAGGCACCGCGGGAGATGGACGAGAGTGCGCTGACTCCAGTGACCACGCTGGGAGTCGCGATCGAGGGCTACTGCGTGAGCCTGACCGTGCTACTGGCGGGCGTGAGCCTAGGACTTCTGCTCGCTTTGCTGGGATGTTCCTTGATTTGCTGGTGCTGTCCGTGTGCGAGGCCGAGCTGGTGCCGCGCGGGCGTCCTGCCGCGCGGCGGCGGCGGCGGGAGGCAGCCTCGCGCCCCGATCGAGGGGTTGAGCGCGCCAGCAGTGAAGATCAAGTCAAAGAAGGGCGACCGCAGAAGGACGGTTGCCACCCAGAGCCAGGTCAATAATACTTGGTGGACGACCAGCCCCCGTTTCCAGCCTTTGGGGCCGCGAGAACAGGGGGCGTGGTCCGAGTAGGGCCTTGCGCTGTGTACTCTTAGGTGCGTTACAGGCGCGAGCCTAGACCTCCGCGACTTTGCGTCGAGGCACTGCGGGATGTAAATTTCGCTTTCTAGAACCCTGGAGGGGGTGGTGGCCCCGAGGGGTGTCCGAGGAGGAGCGGGCCCACCACCCGCTCCCCGCTCGGCCAGGCGGCGTGCTCGGGATCTTGTGCGATGCGGACGCCATCAATTCATAACATGCCCACCGGCCCTTTTGTTCGAGCTGCGTTGGAGGAAACACAGCCCCAAGATACGCTTTCCCCACGCGTCCGCGCAACTTCCGCCAACCTTAGGTGGAGCTTCCTATGGGGCCACGAAGCGCTGTACTGGGTGGATGAAGCGCAGGGAGGAGTGAGGGGGAGGGGAGGAGGAGGAGGAGGAGGAGGAGGAGGAGGAACGCGGGGCACCGTCTTTTCAAAACGAGGACCCAACACCACAGGATGGTTGGGCAAAACACAAAGTTTCGCAACATCAGTTTTCAAAACAAGCTTGCTCGCGCGCTCTTGCGAATTCTTGTGAAAACAATAGGTTTTTTTTCAACATCTTCATGGGATTCTGCCAAACGGGCGTCTGGCGCCGCATGCCGACATCATTCGCA